GCCCCCCGGAGCGCGGTGCCGCCTCTCGGCCCGCGAAGCCCCGCAGCCCACGGCGGCCGCGCCGCCGCCTCATCGATATTCAGGCGGCCTGGCACCCCGGCGGGGCCGCGCCGCGCCCGCGGCCGCCAATCGCGGAGGCTCTGCCGGTTTCCATGGCGATGGTGCGGGAACGGTGCCGGCTGCCTAGTGATGGGGAGGCGGGGGGCGGCGGCACCGGGCCGGGGGGAGCCCCTCCGGCTGCCCCTGTTTCACGATCACTGCTTCCCGGCGCTGGGTTTGAGGTGCCGCTGCCCTGCGCGATGTGAGCGGTACTCTGCTGGGGCCCGGTACCTTTCCCCCGCCCCTCCCGCTCTGGGGACCACAGATGCTGCCCCACAGGGCCCAGAGCTGGCTCAGCCTGCTGCCAAAAACACAAAAAGCGCTCTGTGTGCCCCATGTAGGGGCTGCGTGGGTGAGAGTTGGAGGCTGGCGCGAGCAGGGAGAGGGCTGCAGCATCGCGGTGACGCGGGGAGATGGGAGCTGGTGGCATAACGCTTCAGCACAGCGTGGCACGGGCACTGCTGAGCGCACGCGGTGCAGCAGGCACACGCTCCATCTCTCTGCCCACTCCCCATCATGCTGTAGTACGGATGGAGAGCACCCTGTGCAGCAGCCATGCTTAGTGGAAGGCCATTCGGCTGCTCCCCAGGACCTCACTCCCAGCCATGCACAAAGCCATCCTGCTGTTCATCGCTCCTCTGCACACCTCAGGCACTGAAGATCGGCTGGGACTGATCCTGCCCTTTGTGTCTCTGTGAGACAGCGTTGTGTCACACAGCTGCTCCATCGGATTGTGGGCAAGGTGCAGCACTGGGGGCTCTCTGGCTGCAGGTGCACCTTGGACACTGCTCTGTGAGCACCTCCTTGGGGAGCTCTGTGCCACATCCCGATGTGCAGCACGTTGATGTGTCAGCTGCCAAAACAGGCGGCGCTGCCTCTGTGTCATCTCAGACAGATCACCACGGTGAGTGGTTTTCTCACCGCCGGCTGTGCAGGGTGCAGATGACCCACTTAGATGCTGAGGGAGGTAACAGCCAGGTCCAACAGTCACACATCCCCCTGCATGCAGAGCTCTCCATGCCAGGAGGAGACCTGGCATCTCTTGCTCCCTGCCCACCGCTGTTTCCCTCCCCTGGAGGTGCTGGGGAGGATCTCTGGTGCTGCACAGCATGCAGTGAGGCCCAGGCGCAGCACAGCTCGCCAACAAGACAGAACAGGCAGGTTTCATAAGCAGGAGGGGAAAGCCAGCAACGGGAAGGGAAACGTGCTGCTGATAAGATCGTGTAGCTGCAAGCAGTGCATGGCCTGCAGTGTACACACAGCGCAGCCTCGCTGGGAGCCCTGCTCTGACACAGCTCACTTTGTGCTCCTGCTGCTGTGTGCTGCTCACATAGCTGTCCCTGCTCACCCCACCAGGTCCTGCTGCACCACCGGGGTCCTGCTCACCCCAGTGGTTCAGATGTGGGAAGTTGAGGAGGACCCCAGGGAGCCCTCCAGAAGGACCCAAAAGCCCCCAAGGAGCTGGGCCCATTCCCTGTGGTGCAAGGACAGGGTGTGCAGCCCCAAGGGCCTCCTGCCTCTTCCACTACAAAGCTGCAAGAGAGAACATGTTCTGTGGGAGAGAATAAATAAGGAGCCAAGAATGACCCTGGGGAGCTCAGAAACCAGGGAGCCAACCCATAGCTTTGAGCAGGGCACACATAACAGGGTCCATTGGCAGCCCTGGCCAAGATAGGGAAAGAGGCTGAGGACGTGCTGTGGGGATGGCACTGGGGCAGCTGGTGGACACAGACCTGCTTCCATCTCCCTTTCCTGCAGGTCCTGGGGCTGAAGGCAGTGAGGGATCCACCCACCACCGTCACAGCCCATGGGACTGAGGCTGCATGGACTCCCTGCAGCACCAACCAGGGCGAGGAGCACACGCTGGGCTCACCCCAATAGGAAGGGGACACGTTTCCTTGCATGAACCTGCACCAGTGTGCACTCAGGGCACAAGGAAGGCACTAAAATAGGAGTTGGTTTTTTTTTTCTTTTTAACTTGCAGTTTCTGTTTTGCTGCTCTCAGCAAGAAATGCATTTCCAACGTCTCCGCAGGCAGTGAGTGCTGAGCAGTTATAATAGTTGTGACCATAATAATCCTCAGACATAAGCACCCGGTATTTATCTTTCCTGCTATTTACATACTCATTATTAGGATCATGACCTTTCAAAACCTTTTATGTTAAAACTGCAAACTTGGGCTTTGTTGTCCTCTTGGGCACATAACAAAATGAAAGCAGCTCAGGACAGGCTGTGCTGTGCTGTGTTGTGCTGTGCCGTGTTGTGCTGTGCCGTGTTGTGTTGTGCCGTGTTGTGCTCTGTTGTGTTGTGCTGTGTTGTGTTGTGCTGTGTTGTGCTGTGCCGTGTTGTGTTGTGCCGTGTTGTGCTATGCTGTGTTGTGCTGTGTTGTGTTGTGCTGTGTTGTGTTATGCTGTGCTGTGCTGTATTGCGTTGTGCTGTGTTGTGTTGTGCTGTGCTGCACCGTGTTGTGCTGTGCTGTGTTGTGTTTTGTTGTGCTGTGTTGTGCTGTGTTGTGCTGTGTTGTGCTGTGCTGTGTTGTGTTGTGCTGTGCTGTGTTGTGCTGTGTTGTGCTGTGCTGTGTTGTGTTGTGTTGTGCTGTGTTGTGCTGTGCTGTGCTGTGTTGTGCTGTGCCGTGTTGTGTTGTGCTGTGTTGTGCTGTGTTGTGCTGTGCTGTGCTGTGTGGTGCTGTGCTGTGTTATGCTGTGCTGTGCTGTGTTGTGTTGTGCTGTGTTGTGTTGTGCTGTGTTGTGCTGTGCTGTGTTGTGTTGTGCTGTGCCGTGTTGTGTTGTGCTGTGTTGTGCTATGCTGTGTTGTGCTGTGTGGTGCTGTGCTGTGTTGTGCTGTGTTGTGCTGTGTTATGCTGTGCTGTGTTGTGCTGCCTGCTTGGGTGGGTTTTTTTTTTAGCTCTTTCTTGTTTTTACTGCTTAAAAACTTGCTGCCTTGTGACCATGACAAGAGTTCTGACCTTTTTTTCCTTCCGTATTCCCTTCAAACATTTTCAAAGTCAGGGAGTGGGGGATGCAGGGATGAGGAAGAAAAGGCAAAGCTCTGAGTCCGGGGGTGGTCAAAGGGAGAGGAAAATATTCAATAAAACCACCCTCAAAACCTGCGTGAGAAATTTCGGAAAAAAAGCAGAAGCTTTCCATTAAAACTTGGAGTCAAGAAGAGGGAAAAAAAAACTATTTTTATTACATTTTTCTACTATTTTTAGGTGCCACGTCCAATGACCAGAAGACAAGGAATGGGGACGTGGGAAACTGAGACATCAGGCTCACTGCATGGGTGGACTGAGGTGGGGACAGTGGCCATAGGAGCATCCCATTCCTGTTCCACGTGGCCTCGTGGAGGTGGTGGGGAAGTGCTGGGACATGGCCGCTCTGCTGTGAGCCTGGATGGGTGTGGGGCACATGCAGTCATGGGGTGCTGAGATTTGTGGTTCCCAATTCTAGCACCCTGTATCCCCCAGGCTCCATCCCAGTGCAGTGCTCCCACTGCCACCCATGGCCTGGGGTACCCCATGTGTCTTTTTCCAGTTGTTGTGTTTCTTGGGAATAGAATAAAAAAGACAAATTACACAAGTGAATGCTGAAAGAGTTTTATTTAGCAGCCCCTGTGTCATTGTGCAGCTGTGCAAAGCCGCTCAGCAGCCCCCACCTGCCCCCATCCACATGTGGCCACCACCCCAGCTTCGTGCAGGACTCTGCCGAATTTGCCATGAAGGTGGGGTGAAAAAAGTGCAAATGAGAGGCCATGCTACCTACCTGCCCTCCCACAGCGGCCAGCACAGAACTCCCACCCCATACAGCAGGCAGTGGGGACAGGGCCTCGTGGTCCCTTGCTCCCCGCTGTGCAGTGGGGATGGTGCCATTCCGTCCTCAGCTCCATGACGGTGGCTGGCACAGAGGTTGCTGCTGTTGGCGTTCTCTTCTCCGTAGCCCACAGTACACTCATCCATAAAGTAGGAAACACTACACCCTGCAGTGCTGTTTAGTAGTGCTTTCTACTTTATGGGTGACTGCACTGTCTCTCAGTCGATGTCGGTGGTTGCTCTTCTCTGGCGATGTGTTTTCCTCTGCCCGCGCCCAGCCGCAGGGATGTCTTCACGGGCAGCATGGCCGGGGGCACGAAGAGACGGGCAGCCCCTGCAGGCATCACCTCCCACCCTGAGGAGCCAAGTGGGGCACAGGGGACATCCATGCCTTACCCCCATGGGGAGATCTTGCCTTTTAACTCTAAGACCCATCCTGGGCGCAAGGGGCAGCCTGGCCTTGCTTGTCCCTATGGGGGAACAGCCTACTTTGCAGGCCACCATTTCCTCTCGAGCTCTTTGCTGAGAACAGAGGATGTTGTCACCTTGCCCCCAGAGGACAGAGCCCACCTCAGACCCCATTCTAGCACAGAAAACCTTCTTGTCTTGTTCCTGCCGGAGAGAACCCACTCAAACCTCATTATGTACTCTCAGACCCCCACCCTGGGCTTCTTTCCCTTACCTCCATGTGGAAGACCAGGACCCCCCGCCCCATTAACCCCTTGTTTGGGTACATTCCACTTCAAACTTCATTGCTGGCCTTTAAGACCCCTTTGAGCCACAGAGGACCACTTAATCTTGATCGCAAGGGTGAAATCCCAGCTAAATTCCCTCACTGTCCCTCAAAGCTCATCAAAGTCACACACAACCCCCTAGCTGCATCCACATGCAGAGATGCCACCTCAATGTTCTCTGGTCACGGAACACTTTTTGCGCTGTCCGCGTGGTGAGGATCCTATGGAAAACTCCACCTTTTGGCTGGGTACCCTTTGCCTTGCCTTGTCCCTGTGGTGGAGACCCTGTCTAAATGCCACTATGATCACAGAAGGCTCCTTTGCTTTGTCCTCATGGTGGGGACCTCACAGCAAACCCTGTCCACATTACAGGGACTGCCCTATCAAAGTCCCTGCGTGGTCTCCATTTCATGCTCTCACCCTTGTCACTGAGGACCTCCTTGTCCCATCCTGTGGGGCTCCCACACTCTGTCCGCTCAAGGTTACCCTCCCCTTAGAATCACAGGAGTGCCGTGGGCTGGGGGCTCCTCATGAATGTCCACCTCTCCTCTTTCTTCCAGCCCCACATGACCCCCTCAGTGTCCCCACTGTCCTTCAAGCCATGTTCTGGGTGGCACCAGGAGGCTCCCGTGGCCACACGGAGCCCCACACCCTGCTCCAATCTCATCCCCGCCTCCCCCCTGCCACTTTGGAGCCCCACATCAGCCTCACCTGCTCCACAGCTCTGCGTCCAACGCCTCCCATCCCGCTGCCACCAAAATCCCCTTCGGTGGCACTTCTGCTTCGGCCTCTTCCCGCCTCCTCCCACCCATCCGCCACGGCGGTGCCTCCTCTCCACTCCACCCTGGGGTGGGGGAGGGGGGACCCCTTACCCACAGGGCATCCTTAGCACCCACCTGCCCCCCTGGCATCGGGTGGGACTGTGGCTGCCGGGACCCTCCAGGCCCCCGCTGCTCCATGTGGGCACCCACCGCTGGCCAAGCCCCTCTGTACGTTACCAAGTTGGGGCGCAGGTGGCCCACGCTGGTGCCAATGCTGCAGGTGCTCTATGGGGTGCTGGTGTCCGGAGGAGCAATGGGCCGCAGCGGGGAGCGAGGCTGCTTTTAACCCCATCCTGCCCACGTGGCCCCGACCACAGGAAGAGCCGTAGCTGCTGAGGAGATAACGGTGCGTGGTCCCACCCAGCACCACCCTGCAGCCCGACCGCAGCCGTGGGGCGAGGGGCAGCCGCCCGTCAGCGCCGGAAGCACTGGGGGCCGTTGCAGAGCAGCCGGTTACGCTCCCCTGGGCCTCGCTGCACTGAGCAACAAACATGTTTGTGCGAAAAAAAAAAAAAGCTATTTGCACTGTTTGCACTGTTTGCACTGTTTGCACTGTTTGCACAGGGCAGAATGACAGCAGCTGTGCCCCCCCTCTAACCCCCAAGACCCAGGCGCTCAATGCAGAGTGTGGGGTTGGCCCCGCCGTCTCTGCTGTGTTCCATCATCCCAGCCCTGCAGCAGGTGTTCCTCAGCGCAGAGCTTAGGGAGGGGATGGCAGTGTTGGATGAGGGTTTGGGGTCCCCGAGCCCCATGGCAGGAGTGCAGCAGGAGGGGACACGGGTGCCAGTGAGCTGTGAGCCCTAGCCCTGCTCTTTAGGAAATGTGTTGCCCAAGAAACCTTCCTGAGTCTTTCCCTTACACAGTGCTCTGCAACACCAGACTTCCCCACAGCTGAGGAAGCCATAACGGCCAACAGGAACACGAGGCCCCCGAAAAGAAAATGAAAGCCAGATCTGCAGGGCGGGCGCATCCCTCTTGCACTGCCACTCGGGGGCTGGAGCCATGAGGGGTGGCCATCGGCACCCCATAATACCAGCACTGGGCCTGAGGTGAACTCTGGCACCAGTTTTCTAGCCAAGGACCCATGGCACAGATGCCATCTCTGAGCGGTGTGCAGTTTCGCAGCCTCACGCAAGAGCAAAGAGCTGTGGGTCTGCACAGGGGTGAGCCCCCAGCTTTGCTCTCCTGCTGTCTCTGAGAAATGCAGCATGGAGCCAGGGAAGGTCAGCAGTGTTGCATGAAGTTGTGCCTTAAACCAGATGAAAAATGACGAGCTAAATCCCCAAAAATGGCTGTGAATGGGGATGCCTTAGTCAGTGGGATGGGTTTCACGCAGTTGTGCTACACATTCATTTTTGGGGAATACCATTCATTCTCTACATTGATAATCTGGGAGGAAATATTAAAAAGAAATCACACTGTGAGGTTTACAGAAAGCAAAGAAATAGCAAAGTCAAAATCAGCCGAGCAGCCACTGAGATTTGGCTTGCTCCAACAGCAGGTGTGGGGCTTACAGCAGGCAGAGGGGCTTTGGGCACAGAGGCAGTTTGCTGTGGGGCTCCTCCCGAACTGGGGCTGCTCTGCTCCCGCAGCATCAGCTCCCATTGCCTGGCTGCCTCTGGGAGCCTGTCCAACCTGCAATGCAACCACTTCTGGGGACACCCAAAAAGTGTGACAGTGCTCTGACTGGAGGTGAGGTGTGAGCGGGTTCTTCCTGAGCCGGAGACACCCCCACACCAGACAGCACCCCCGAGGCGGCAAGGCCTGCTGTGCTGCTGGCTGTCGAGGTGCTGTGGGTTGTAGGATGACAAAGCCACCGTGTGCAATGGGGGAGCCAGTGGCAGCCCCCCACATCCTGAAGCAAAGTGAAGGAGCCGCGTTGCTGCCGAGGGACTTTCCCCAAACCGTAGGGCCAAGGCCATGCTGCTCGCAGCACACCCTGCTCTGAGGGCAGCACAGCCCTGCTGGAGCTGCGTCTGGGTGGCCGGTGACAGGTACTAGGGCTCTTGGAGATCATTTATTGGAGAAAAGCTCAATTTAATGCTAATAGGGCTGCCAGGCGAGGCGGGGCTTGTTCCTGAAGGAGAGCCGGCGGTGGAGCAGTAAGCCAAGGGGAGGGTGAAGCACGTGGCCGGGACGGGGGCTGGGGGTGCCGCGGCCGTAGAGCACAGCAGGACACAACGCTGTGCCCCACACAGAGCCAGGTGCCCGGGGGCCGTTCCCCGCAACGCAGACCCGGCTGCCTTCCCGGCAGAGAAGTGGGGGAGGTGACGCTTCCTCTTTCCCGGCTGCGCGGCAGAGCGTGGCCAGGGGACACGGCATTTCGGGTGTCCCAGGCTGGGTTCCTCCTCCGGCAGAGCCCCCCGCCGCCTCCTGTTTCTCAAAAAGAAGGAAATCAGCAGATCTGGTTTCATGGGCTGAGGAGGTCTGAAAGTCTCCGACTGATGATGAACTCACTGCATCCCCCGGCCATTGGTTAACTTTGCCAAGTGGCAAACAAGTTTCTAACTTACCCCCCTTTCCTCCGTGCTCCCCACACACAGCCAAAATAGCTGCTGAGATCACAGAGACGTTTGGGGTTTGGTTGGGGGAGGTGAAGCAGCTGCGTTTCCTCTCTGGGGGGTCTCGTGGGAGCACCCAGCCCCCAGCGCTCCCAGCCTCACTCTGCACCCATGGGTGTGCGGGAACCAGCGGAGCCCCCGTGGTGCTGGGGCAGCCCCTGGCCCACACCGAGCCCTGCAGGAGAGCAGGACCTGGCATTGGCCCCATCTCTGCCATCATCTCAGGGCACTCAGCTGTGGCTCTGCCACCTGCAGCATCCCCCTGCACTGCCCTTTCTGCTCCCTTCTCAGTGCTGATGGTGCGTGGAGCTGCCGGCCCTGGCCCCACTCCCCGCTGCTGTTGCTTTTCCAGTAACTTTCCCAGTATCAGTGAGCACAGGGCAGCGGGTGCTGGGGCTCTGGGGGCGGCAGCACGGCTGACCCAGGCCCTTAGGCAGAGAGAAGGGCCCTTGTCGAGCAGTGCAGCTCAGGAGCTGCGAAAGAGCTGATATTTCTTATCTCTCCTTGCAGCAACTTCCCCTCCTCGGCTGTGGTCAGGGCGCTTGCTGCACGCAGGGGAAGTGGCGGCAGGGCCGGCTGCCTTTGGGCCTGTGCTGTGCTTCACGGGGCTGTGTCAGGGGAGGAGGAGGAAGAAGAAAGAGTGCTCTCAACCACAGGCTGCCTGACCCCCTGCTGCTGTCCTGGGGAGTGGGAAAGGGGTCTGCGTGCCGCTGTCTCCTCAGCCTCAATGGCACAGATCTCTGGGATCATCTCCTGCTCCACCCAGCAGTGCCTGCCAGCCACAGATGGAACCTTCCTTGTGCCGCTGCTCACTCTGAAGCCTAATGACCGCATTCCCAACACGAGCCACCAGCGTCCCCGTCAGAGCAGCCTCAAATGTCACCAGTGGATGGAGTCACCTGTGCTCCCTGAGCCCACGGGTGCTCATAGGCCTGGCTGCACTGCATCACGGAGGCCAAAACTGGCTTTTGGGAATGTGCTGGGTGAGCAGAGTAGTGGCTGCAGCCCTCCTGCTGGCCAGGAGGACTGTTGTGAAGGCACAAGGCAGAACTGCAGCACCTCTGAGCCCAGAGGAGAGAGCCAAGACAGACCGGGACACACTGAGATGGGTTGGGATCCCCAGCTCTGCCCGGCAGGCTCAGTGCCACCTGCGCTCTGCTCTCTGCCCACGATTTGAGGCAGGGGATAGGACCCGGGGGGGCTGAGCCCCCATCCTTCAAGTGGCACCAAGGGACACACGGCGGCTGTGCCCAGGGCTGTGCTCACACCTGGTGTGATGGGCTGCCCGCAGTGCCAGAGCAGCACCCGACCCCAGGCCCAGCGCCGCACTGGGAGCGCGGCCGTTGGGGGTGAGTCAACCAGAAACTGCCGGGTGAAACGGGCCGCGAGCGGAAGGCAAAAGAGAGCGTGAAGGGAAACCTCAAAAAGCCGAAGTGACGCGACGGGGCGGGCGCAGGGCCGTGGGGAGAACGCGGCGCCTTGCTTTGCCATATATAGACAAATCGCGGCCCGTCTGCGCCAATGACGGATGTGGGCCGTTGCATGGTGCTGGTGGGGCACGGAGCGCTCCGACATTTTCCATGCCACCTGCTGGAACCAGCTCGCAGGTGGGGGAAGGGGCGGTGGGCCGGGCCCTGTGCAACCCACAGCCCCGCTGCTGTGGGCAATGCTGGTCCTCCCCCTTCCCATCTCTATCCCAGACACCCTGGGGACAGCGGCCGTGTCCCTGAGGGCCTGAGCAGGAGTCAGGCATCTTAGCATGCAGCGTGGGGATGGAGGCCTCAGAGCCGTCAGCCCAGCTGGGATCGTTTTCATGTTCCAGGCAGACATTTAGAGCAGTGCAGGTGGCTGAGATGGAGAACACCTGGGGCTGGGTGGATAAGGGGCACATAGGGACCTTTGTCCGGCCGGTGGGATCTGGGACCACACAGGCTCAGACACACAGAACACCACGACTCAAGCACACCCTGGTGAGCATCAGGACCACCTGGTGAGCATCAGGACCAGCTGCAGGGCCAGGACGCAGGGAGCCCAGGAATGCTGGGGATGGGACAGACACTGTCAGGCTGCCACACCCCTGTGACTCCGGCTCTGCAGCATCGCTTGGCTGAGTACCCTCAGGAAGCGCAGTGGGGAGGTGGAAGGTCTCCTGCCCAGGGGAGGTTTGGGACCCTCTGCCAGCTCCTGCTGTTCCCAGCCACCCCAGCACTGCTGGTACACTAACAGGTTCAAGCAACAAGAAAGCGACTGATGGCTGCTTTGCAGACAGCACCACGCATGCAAGCAAGCAGTGACAGCACCAAGGTGGCAGCCCCTTTTTCTGAGCTCTTTGCAGGTCTTCCCCAGCAACTGATGACCCTCCATCCAGCTCCTTCTCCACAAGGTCTCCTCCTTCCCTCCACACTTGGTGAGGAGCAAATGCCAGGGTCACAAACACAGATCAGAGCTCCTGCAGATCAGATCAGAGCTCTTGCATTGCACCTCACCCGCCGCCTCCATCACTGGTGCACAGGAGGCCCTGCGGCCTCCACACATGGAAGCTGTGCTTCAGCTCTGCCACAGTTCAAAATCTTTCACATCTGCCCACACCTCCGAAACTGTGCATCGAGCCCTTGTGCCACCGTTACTGTAATCCTCCTCCTCCCCTGCAACCCCTCCTGGTGAGAACCCCCATCCCCACCACATCAGAGGCACCCGTTGTCTCGCTGCCTCTGAGCTGCCTGCTCAGGCTGGGTGACAGTGAGATGGGGCTGCACCCCCTGACCTCAACCTGCAGTTAGCAGTTCACACCCTGGCTGTGCCATCCTTATACCCCATAGGCATTGCATAGGTCATCCTCTTTGGTTCTACCACCCCGCTTCAATTTAGGGCTTATTTTGTTTCTTTTTAGCACCCACCATCAAGGGTCCTGGCCCCCCAGTCATTAACCTGGAAGCAGTCAAACCCCAGCATCCCATGGATGCCTGAGTTCATAAAGTCCAGAGGCACCAGGTGATGGGAGGTTGGTGCAACGTGGGACTGACCCTCCCCAGAGGGCCCTGCACAGCATCTCTGTTGCCTGGCCTTGACATGAGCACAGAGTGACAACCAGAAAGGCTGCAGGAGCAAAACCGGGGGCAGAGGTGGGCACTCCCACTTTGCAGTGCCCACAGCCCCACAGCCCTGCAGAGGTGCCCCCAGCACTTCTGCACTCACATGCAGGTGCTCACCAGGGCCCAGCTCACCCAAGACACACGGCCCTGACAAAGGAGCCACATTTGTCCGGGGGTCCCTGTGCCTCATGTGAAGCCCTGCACATGGAGCGAGCAGAGGGGCCCCTTGGGGACAGTGAGGCTGGGCATTTCCCAGCTCAGCCAGCAGCTGCCTCACGTAGACACACCGTGTGCTCTGCGGTTTTGGAAAGTTGCTTTTCTAGCCCGGAGGGACAGCCGGGTATCGGTTCTCAAAACCCGCACGAAGAAATTCGCTCGCTCGTGCTTCCTGCCCTGCTGCTGCCGGCCCTGCCGCCCTCCTGCAGCTCCCACGCGGTGCCCAGGCAGAGCGATGCAGCCCCGCAGCCTGAGATATTTTGGCGTCATTTGCTGCAGGGGGAGGAGCTGTCTTGAACTGATTCAGATCCACATTCCCTGCCCTCTGGAAGCTTACAGCCCAGGCTGTTGCTGCACATTTTTCCTCCGATTTCTTCAATGTGAGAGCTCCCTGCCCTACTTTTCTCAGCAAATAAAGCTTTGCATCCATTTGCTTTTCCTGCTACAAAGCCGCAGAGGCTCCAGGGATGGAGTCTCACCGAAATGCTCATTTTGGGGAGATTTACAGAGTCCAATGCTCAGCTTGAGCAGCCTGGGAGCAATGAGTCACCCGGCGGCGTGGGCTGGGAGATGCGGTGCGCGCGGTGGGGGTGATGTGCAGAGGCACAGAGTCAGCCCAATTTGAGGCACTACGTTTCTGGAAGCGCTGCGGTCTGCTGCAGGCAGAGTAGGTGCAGATCTTTCTTGAAAGACCACCGGTGCCCAGCAGCCTGCTGCACTGTGCTGGCTCTATTCCACCTGCACCTCACTCCCACCAGCCTGTGCTCTGCATCATCCGGGGGCTGCAGCCTGCGAGACATGAGGTGCCTATGGGGTTTACAACCCCCAGCCATCTTACCTGGGAGGCACAATGACAGCATTTGCTGCTCTATGGGCACAATTTTCTAAGCGAAGCTCCCAGTCCCTAGTGGTCAGTGAGTTACTGGAGCCTCCTCCAAGCCCACAGACCCACCCCCAGGTCCTGGCTGAGCACCTCGCACTGCGCAGGGCCCTGCACAGAGCCCTTTTGTCAGCCCTACACCAGGGGACGTGATAGCTAATGAGCTTTGGAGGAGCCCCCCCACCTCTGAAGACTGGGAAGGTGGGGACAGCCTGCAGCACAGTCCCCAAGGAGCTGACAAGAGAGACCATAGAATCATAGAATCACAGAATCATAGAATGTTCTCGGTTGAAAAGAATCACAATGCTCATCCAATTGCAACCCCCTGCTGTGTGCAGGGTCGCCAACTACTAGACCAGGCTGCCCAGAGCCACATCCAGCCTGGCTCTGAATGCCTGCAGGGATGGGGCATCCACAACATCCTTGGGCAAATGGAATACGGAGTTGTGCTCCGTGTCTCCTGCCACTCCAGCAACTTTGTTCCCCGTCCCCAGGCCCCAGCGCTGCTCCACAAAGCCCTGCTGCCACCCCGTGGCTTTTGAGCAGCGAGGCTGCAGAGCTGGGCATGGCCGCAACGATTGTCCTCGACTGCCTGCCGTGCACGACGTCCTTCCAGCCTGGCCAAAGTGAGCCAGAACCTCACTTTCCAGATCCACTGCCTCCTGTTGGAGCAGGAGCTCCACAGCTCATCCTCCTGGACCCACTTTGATCTGACCCTCATCAGTTCTCACCAACCTCATAGAATCATAGAATGAATCATAGAATGGCCTGGGTTGAAAAGGACCACAACGATCATCTCGTTTCAACCCCCCTGCCATGGGCAGGGTTGCCAATCACCAGACCAGGCTGCCCAGAGCCACATCCAGCCTGGGATGCATCATCTGGCGGTGCTGGAGGCAGTTTTCCTGAAGCTGCACTCTGTGGGATCCCCTGCTCACCCCGTGCTGCTCCCTGCACAGCCTGCACAACACCTCCAGGCCTTGACACATGGCAGTCACACCTTGCCCTGGTGCTACACCCACCCATAGCGCTTTTGGGCTTCTCTAAGGCCTGCCTACAACCAAGTGAGCCTGGAGAGTAATCATTAGGTAATTTTGGAGATTGGGACATCCATCAGGGAGGCACGAAGGCCAGGTCCAGCACCCTGGACCTGCATCTGCTGCTCCATGTCCTCATGATGGGACTCTTCAGGGCCAGCTCCACAAAGCAAAGCAAGAGAAAGAGTACATTGCCTTGCTGCTCCTATCATCAGCCCTGCCAGCAATGCACTACCTCCACTGCTGCTTCTTTCTTCCAAAATCAAATGCAGCCATTTTCTAGGCTTTTATTAGTTTTTCAGTATTTGTTTCTGCATACTGAACCTGAAAAATCAGGTTTCTCATCTACAGGATTATTCCAGAAGAATAAAAAAATCTTGTCTCACAGAGCTGCCTCCCAGTTACACCAGCAATGGGTTCATCTTACTCTGCCTGCACTGACCAGCAGCAGACCAGAAGTCCTCCACGTCTGCTTCCCATCCCTGCTATGGGACCCTGCAGGACCAGGACACTGTGACCTCCAGACCAGCACCTCTATGTGGAACACTCTGTACATCATCCTCCATATTTCCTCCAGCCATGAGACATAAAGCACAAATCCCAAGTCTTGTTCCCACAGTGATGGACACCAACACTCAGCAAGGATAGGATCCACTTCCTGAGTTGGGATTTTTGCCATATGGACAAGCTGTGGTGGCTGAAACCTCCAAACTACACCAGCAGTGTGACAGGTCTGGGGCTGAGTGCAAAACCCCCTCCCATGCCTTCTGCTCACCATGGTGGGTGAAACAAGTGGTTGAATACACAACAATTGACTCCACTCTGACTGGAAAGCAAGTTTTATTGAAATATTTACAGTTGCATCCCAGCTCCTCTTATTCACACCGACTATAAAAGGTTTATGCATCTCCCTTCAACACCTTTTTCCCAGTCCTACTCACATTCCCCTCCCTGTCAAGGCTGCAACTGATTTTAAGGTCTCTGTGGTCCAACAGTGGCATGGCTGAGTCCAGAGGTACTGAGCAAGAGCAGCTGAGCCAACAGCTCCCTCAGAGTCCAGGTCCCTCATGCTAAAACTAAAAGGTTTCAGAGCAGTGCCTCACATGCCAGCTGCCTCGCTGAGCAGCCCAGCAGAGCACCTGGGAATCCTCCACGCAGCACGAGAGCCCCTTAGGTTTTGATAGCTGTGTCTCGTGACTTGTAAGCTACACCACGACTCTTCAGTTCTCGGACGATCCCTGCAACAAGGACACAAACACATTTCAGATTTCACTAGGAATGAGAAGCCCTAAAAAATCTGGTTGCTCTATCACGTAGCTTTCACTGCAGAGCTTAAGAACTGGATAATCTTCTTCTTAGTTCCTTCTAACAGTGTGTCAACTTCACTGTTAAGAGTGCTCCCTCCTCTAGTGCCTAGTCAGAGCACCCAAATATTAACTCAAGTTTTGCCCTGGGAAAAAAAAAAGCTGGGCAGAGACTTTACTGCATTATTTTCTACCTACAGATGTTTGAATATCATGATTGTCCTGCATAGACCGAGCTCTTAAAGGTTGTTCTTAAGCCTTCCGGTCACTTCTGTGTGACTTGTTTAAAGTCTAAATAGCACCACAGCAGTGACAGAAGAGCATCACATGGTTCAGGACAGCTCTCACCGGTACCACAGCACGGACAGCCAAATGGCAGCCTGCAAGGCCCTTGGGTGCAGCCTGCTGGCTTTCGTTCTTCCCAGCACCTCCTTGCTTCTGCCTGTGATGTGAGGATGTTCCCCACACTAAGCAAAGCCCAAGAGCATCTCCCGTATGCATCCCCTCCTGCCCTGTGCTCACAGCTGTGCTCTGCCCGCAGCTGCACAGAGCATATGGCATCACTGCTATGCTCTACTTGCTTCAGATGTGTCCAAAGCTGTGCCAGGAGGCCTTGTGCCTCACGGTGTTTCAGCTGTCCCCTAACACAGATGGTGGAGCTCAGGTTAGCAAAAAAAGAGGTGGCATTCCAAACAAAAGTTTTTACACTGAGTGTGGGAGACTGCAGACCTCTTGGGACACAGGTTAGGAGTCTGATCTCGGACTGCAGACATGAGAAACGGAAAATGTGATTTCTGCTTTATGAAGGTAGGGCCAACTCACTACACCCTTCACTGTACCTACAAATTAAAAAATGCCACCTTAACTTGATGTGAGCCCTCAGTGCAGTACTGCAGTGGAAAGGAATATCTGCTCACCACTCCTCCTCATTTTCCCAACTGCACCCCTTTCTGCACCATTCATTTTTGTTTTCTTGAAGCTGCACAGCTTGAAGTGAGCACACTTTCAGTAGTCAGGCTTTAATCACATTTCATTGCTCTGATGTATAATCTGGCATCATAGGTTTTTATTCAGCAGAATTTTCATACCAACTTTTGGCAAGCAGAATGCTGGATGACCACAGACAGCCTGTCTGCAGAACAGGGAACCCTGCCTCCCATTCCACACTTTTTCGCAGTCACTTGGCAAATCCTTTCATGCTCAGGGCCTGTTGTAACACTGTTTAATGGACCCCCAAATGCTGATTTCATCAGATCAACACAGTGTAACACACTCAGAGAGTGTAACTGGGCAATATACAGCACTGAGTATGCAAAATAACCCATCTCTCAGTGGCCACCTGTACAGCAGCACTCCTCACACAGCAATAGGGTTACCTTGGGGCAGGCGGCCGGTCACAGACACTGCATACACACCAGGCTTGAAGTTACCTGAGGGAAAGAAAGCAATGAGTGCAGCAGCCAGGTGGGCAAACAGCACCAGCAGCCTCACCCTGTGCAGGTGCTCCCTCCTCAGGAGCTGCAGCAGCCCAAGGAAGAAATCCTGCTGCCCAGCATCACAGAACTGCAGAGCAGTTTGAGGCTGGAAGGGACCTCACAGTTCCCATCCCTGCATGGGCTGGGTGCCCCCAGCTCAGGCTGCCCAGGGCCCATCCACGGCCTGGGGCACTTCCAGGGATGGGGCACCCACAGCTCTGGACAGCAGTGCAGCACCACACTGCCTCTGGGTGAAGAATTTCCCCTCGCATCAAACCTGAGTCTCCCCTCTTTAAAGTTTAAAGCCGTTCCCCATCGCCCTACTGCTATGGGAGAAGGCTCTGGGGCAGAACAGCAGATGGCACTCACTGATGCGCTGCCACTTGGAGACCCAGCTGTCCTCGGGGCTCATCATGGCGATGATCCTGCAGGAGAGAGAGACGTGAGGAGCCCAGCACCGCCCGCTGCCACCGCGCAGCCCATCGCGGCCCCTCACCCATCGAAGGAGGAGCTGGTGCAGTCGTAAACCATCTCGCGGTTGCCCTTCATCTGCAGGTAGGCATCGCAGTTGTCGCAGCCGTCGTACTCGAACTGCTCCAGGGTCTGAGCGGGGAACCACACAACCATGAGATCACTGAGACCCACTGCGACCACAGAACCGTGAGACTCAGTGAGACCACAGAACCATGGGACCATTGCGACCCACTGAGACCATTGAGACTCACTGGGACCACAGAACCATGAGATCACTGAGACCCACTGCGACCACAGAACCATGGGACCATTGAGACCTGCTGAGACCATTGAGACTCACTGGGACCCAATAGGACCACAGAACCATGAGACCACCGCGACCACTGAGACCTACTGAGATCCACTGAGACCCATTGGGACCACAGAACCACGAGACCACTGCAACCCACTGGGACCACAGAACCATGGGACCATGCAACCATTGAGACCCACTGGGACCCATTAAGACCCATTGAGACCCACTGAGACCACTGCGACCCACTGGGACCACAGAACCACGGGACCACCGTGACCCACTGAGACCCACTGAGACCCACTGCGACCCACTGCGACCCACTGCGACCACAGAGACATAGGACCACTGCGACCCACTGAGACCCACTGGGACCACAGAGCCATGGCATCACTGAGCGCCCCGCAGTGACCCGCGCGGTGGGGGCAGCGGCGGAGGAAGGCCCGAGCGGGGCGGGGCGGGACCCGGCGGGGCTGGGAGCGGGGAAGGCCCGGACAGAGCGGTCCGTGCGGGGCGGGAGGAAGGCCGCGGGCCCGGCGGAGCGCACCTTGACGAGGGAGCAGAGCAGGCAGGCCCGGAGGTGCCGCAGGTCTTTGGGGACGGTCTCCAGCGCCATTGCTGCCGCCGCCGCGCACGCGCAGAGCGGGACCGCAGCGGGCAGAGCCCGGGGGGGGGCGGCAGAGAGCCGGGAGGGGCGGGGGAGGCGGCGGGGCTCGCGGCTGGGCTGGGGCGGCGGGCCGGGCTCCAGGCGGCGGGCCGGGCTCGAGGCGGGGCGGCGGGGTGGCCGCCGGTCTGAAACGGCCTCAGCGTGACCGTAGAATCGTAGAAGCCTTTGGGTTGGGGGGGTCTCTTCCCTTCTCCAGGCAGAACAGCCCCAGCTCCTCAGCCTGGCTCCACAGCAGAGGTGCTCCAGCCCTCTGAGCCCTCCTCTGGACCCGCACCAACAGCCCCACGTCTTTCTTGTGCTGGGGGCCCCAGGCCTGGACGCAGGACTCCAGGTGGGGCCTCACGAGGGCAGAGCAGAGGGGGACAGTCCCCTCCCTGCCCGCTGCCACCCCTCTGCTGATGCAGCCCAGGCTGCTGGCGGCTTTCCGGCTGCACACTGCTGTTGTCTTCCATCCACCAGGACCCTCATGTCCTTCTCTACACTCTCTGACTTCTCCCAGTCCGTATACAAATCTGGAATTGCCCCCACCCAAATGCAGCACCTTGCACTTGGC